TAAGATCAACCAGGGAACATGGCATCAATTAAAACCAGCTTATGGAGATTTTTTTTTCAAGTGAGATGGGAGGAAGGAGGGGGATAATTTGTACAACATGGGTTAGATGTCTATTCATTTCAGTTTTCTTGAAACACGGTTCTTAAACCTGCTTGTAAAATGCAGAATTTTTTGCTATCGCCCCTTACTGTCTAGCCTGAGGTCTACAATAGCTCCACATTTAATTAAAGATACAGCATATGGATTTCTTTTTAAGAACAGCTCATTAAAAAAAATGTATAATTGCTGTCATTTGCAATAAAATAAAATATTGAATAACTTTAGCTTGGAATTGGGATTGGAGAGATGGAAAGAAAGAAAAGCATTGCTAAAGGGTGGGGGGGAAATTTACATCTCATTGGCTATGCTAGAGATGATGGAAGTCACACTCCAATAAACCTTGCGGACATCAAATTTGGGATATTTGTATTAAATAAAACAGCAACCTGGTTTGAAAATTGTACCGTCCAGCTTTGAAAATATCCTAACAAAGAAAAATATTGTTGGACTATATGTATTTTCATCAAGATTTCCTTGATGAAGTAAGAAGTTGAATATATAGTCTCTACAAACCTTTCCCAAGACCAACTGAAATAAAAAGTAGAGCAACAATATGATCCACACAGAATTGCAGTCCTAATGTTCAGCCAGTTCCACCAGCTGCAGTTTTTCGTTGACATATCAATGGCATTGTGCCGTAAGATTAGCTTGCTTCTATGAATATCTGTTTTAAACTGAACTCTTAACTCATCCCACTGTTGAGTAATGCAGTTCTAGCAAAACAGCGTTTAAGTCATCTTATGTCATTTCTAGTGTCCCAGTATGCTGCTAAGGAAGATTTATTTGAACAAATGCAAGCCTTGTTCAAGTCATCTAAACAGAAGTAGTTACAACACAGTTTCACCACAACTTCACATATAAGGTCCCAGAAACTAACCAGACACATTTTTTTCTACTTCATACTAATGTAGCATCCAATAATCAAGAATAGCTTGAACTAAGAAGATCATAAGCTCCTCTTTGTGGCGATCTTTACTAGGAGCCTCATCTAAATTAGCCCATGGCTTTGTAACCATGATAGCTACAAAGCACTTGGACCCATGCTCAAAACTTGGCAGAAAACAACTGAATTAATAAAGAATTGACCACGATTTAAAACAGACTTTCATGACATCTGCTCTCAAATTTAATCAAAGTCAAAAAACAACATTGTCATTACATCAAAGGCCTGATCAACCCATAACATTATCGAGCTCAAAATTTATCAAGGAGAATAAGCGAATGGCTTTCAATATATTTAATATATATTGTTGTGAGAGCAACATTCATATCTCATAGGTACTACCGTTTTTCTTTCAATGACGTTTAGAAGAAAATAATTTAACAACCATTTGGCCCCGTTTTTACATGAGAAATTAATCCAACAATCCTTGAATACATGATTTCTATTTCCACTGACACACAAAACGAAAATGTCAAGTGCCCAGCTGAAGTTAAAGTTTGGTGTATGAGTGCTATGTCCTCTAGAACAGCGGTCACCAACTGGTGGTCCGTAGACCACTGGTGGTCCGTGAAAAAATTTTGGTGGTCGCAGAAAAATTATTTGCCTTTTTTATATTGCACTAAATTAATGATCTGCAGGATTTAAAATTATGAATTTAGTGGTCCCTGAGGTCCAAAAGGCCTGCTCTAGAATATTGCAAAAGAACAAATTTCTCTTCATCAGTCTTCCGCAGGGAGGACCATTCAAACAGTCTTATATCAACAACAACAAATAATCTCATCAATTGGACAACTCGTAGAAAGGGATGCGATACCATGGCTTTCTCTTCTTAGAAATATAACCCTATAATCTTGTATGTGTTTAAGCAGAAATAAGTCTACTGAATTGTCTGAAACCTGATTCCACAAAAATATAAATGTAGTAGACTCCCCTTTCTGATGTATTTCAAGTATAGAGTACTTTCAGTTCCTTCTGCTGAGTCAATCTGAAAATTATGGGGTTAGAATTCCAATGTAGCAGCTCTCTTAAGGAAAAAAAATGCAAGACATTGCAGTCTATATGGCTATTACTGCAGGTCTTCAAAGGCAGCTGATAAATAACCCACATGAATGTCCTGGGACAGAAGGACTTTGTTAAGCATCCATCATATCCCATCATAAAGTCGTCTGCACTATTATGAATACTGTGAATGATTTAAAGGGCACAGCAAGCTTTAAGAAACCCATACTTTCTGTTTCACATTTTGCAATGTACCCGCTGAGATTTCTTTCTTGTGAAAAGATGTAGGTTTCCTACGCTAAGAGAAGCTTACACATCTGTCCCTGAAGAAACCCAAACCCATAAGCAATTCAACACTTGCTTTCGTCTCCTAAGCCATACCAGTTCAGAGTCTAAAAAGCAAGAAACAAAAGCAATGTTTAGTCAAAGATACTTTGACATGATATACTACAATCTGCCTTTTTTATAAGTAAAAAAAAGCCCTCCCTCATCATGAAAAGAAATTTCTGGTTTTTTTAACCAATGTTTTAAGGTATTTGAGAACTCTTTCCCAAGAGATCTTGATGGTGTTTTTGAGCCTATCTGGTACGTGGAACTTGGTAGATGGGGGCTACTGAAGCTTTTCTGTTGCACATCACTTGAAATCTCCCTGGCTGTTTATGTATATTTCCCCCCCTCCCAACCCCCGGGAGTTGAACTGAAGTGCAAGAACTGACAGGGAAGCTGCAGGGCATCAGTGAGAGACTTGTACCACACAAACAGGCTATTCACACATGTGCTTGGACCAACTTATAATTCATTCAGTGCAAAAACACCACCTACTCCATGAAAAATGTCCTTTTCTCTTTTAGAATGAGATTTTGATACTAAATTCTCTTTCAGGAAATAGAAAGGGGAAGTGGAATTTTATTTCTGCAGTGATCTAATGTCATTGCTGTTTTTAACATCCACTGGCACGTGGTCATCTATGCTTATTCAAAACTACTTCCAGACAACTACACGGATGAAGATGAAAGGAACTGTTACGGAGAAGTTGCCTGTCAGTTTTATTGTCTGCCTATTACTGTGACATAAAGGACTTATTTGAATTATTAGTAGATATTCCCTTCACTCCAGTTGGTTTATTAAAACAAGCCTAATAGTTGGGAGAAGTGAGTCAAACCCTAGGATGCAGTATAAGGAGGTAGGAAATGATAAAGTAATAAACTTCTGGCTAACCAGTCCTGAAGGAAAAGTGACATAATGGATAGCAAAGCACTGCTTTCTTCAGCAATAAAAAAAAACCAGCAGCAGAACAACAGAACAGTGAATACACATTCAACCTGGATTTAGCAAATGAAGAAGATGTTAATTACTAGTTTATAGATAGGATCAACAGTACATTTTGTATCCAACTAGCTGGCTGGTTTGACTGGAGTCTTCAAAGTTTAATAGGAAATTGTACATACAATAGAGAAGCAAAGTGCAAAAATTCAGTTGCAACATTTAGTTCTACCATCCACAGGGGATTTGCTTTCTCTCTTTGTTCAGGATTTTGACTCTCAAGTCAAATATTAATTTGACCATCTTCTGCTTGGACAACCCAGAAGCAAACTATCATTAGGACCTTTTTTTTTAAAAAAAAAAGAAGATCCTGGGTCTGCTTTTAATAGCACAATTAAGACAAAATGATGCTCAGTACTGCGAATACACTCTCAAAATATCACAAGTTAGCTCTTCATGGAAAAAATACCCTATAATAGTATTTTCACAGCTGAAGCCTTCTATTTCTTACAGGTGTACACAGACACAGAACATTTTACATTTTAACCCAGGATTCTCACCAACTTTGTCCTTTGTCAGATCTCCCAACAGAATGTGGGAATAGACAACTAAGTATAGGTTGGGTAACATCATTATCAGCAGTGAGCTTCCATTGCCTCTGGGATCTGAAATCTGCACTTTCTTCATGGTTATGCAAACGTCATGCAAATTTATTTGGAATCCTCATCACCCCATAATTCCACCGGTCCCACCAGCCTGAGAGATTATTCTACATTTTCTTTTTGTAACACACATCAAAAGGATCAAGAAGCATCAAACGGGAAGTGGGATGGGAGAGCAATTATTTTACATGTCCACAATTACAACAGGTCATATGCAGAGGTTGATGATTCTATTGCAACCATACACTAGCACTGATGATGTTACCCAGTTTGGGTAATGAAATGTCTCCAAGAAAACAGCCAAGCTCAGATAGCACCAAGGTCCCCTCGTTTCAATTGTGAGCTACAAATATTCTCCTTTATTGGCATACATCTTTACCTGAGATCTCAATTTTTTGCGGGGAGAGGGAACGAAGGGGGAGAGAGAGCAAAGCTGTAAAGGCTCTATGGCACCTGCTTGGCTATTTGCTTAGCACATATTCTCTAGTAGTATTTGCTTCATTTGTGCAGGAGCAAACTGTATATGATTCAGCCTGAGCTGGAGATTAGGGCTGTGGTATTGAAATCAGATGGACCAAAAGCAATTAAGGACATTTAGAGAATACATTTTCTCAACAGACGGCAGTTGTTAACTTTTTCTGGGTGCATACAGTATCGTCTGTATCTTTTTGTGGCTGAGCCACAGAGAATCTTAAAACACTGTTAATAGTGGCCAAGCAGAATGTGTTGCACAAGGGTCTCCCTCTTTTGTGGTGTAAGCTTTCAAAAGGTGGGGGGGAGGAAGGGTCTCCTTCTCCAGGAAAGAGGCAAACGGAACTTCCAGGTGCCTTGTGCACTTCCCACCCAGCCCGTCCCAATTTTAAATCACATCAAAGCTTAAGAAGAAGAGCCCACCTATTCCAGTTAAAAGGATTCCCGCAGGGGAGATAAGCAGGAGGAAGGAAGGAAGGAAGGAAGGAAGGAAGGAAGGAAGGAAGGGCTGTCCGTTGGGGGAAAGGTGGAGAAGGACAGAGATGGAGGAAGAGGTAGCTCACCTCTCTTGCCGCGTCTCAACCGGCCGCCTTGACAGTGACTGTAATCCATACAGTTTAGAACGATCAAAGCAAAGGAGAAGAGACGAAACTGCATCCTTCGATCGCCGGGAACCGGGGATTCACCAGGCAGAGAAAAAGCCGAGGTTCGGCCGCCTGTAGCGGCGCTGGGGGAGTCCCGCGGCCGCCCTCCTTCCCTTCCCTCGAGACGGCGAGGTGACAGGCGAAAAGTGGACGGCGCCCTCCGGGGCAGAAGGCAACGGCTATTCCGGGGAGTCGCTCAGACTCGCACGCCGGCCGAGCTTCTTCGCCGAGCCCGGCCAACTCCGAGCATCTTCTCTAGGCGATCTGGAGGAGAGGTTGAAAAGACAACATTCAGACAGACTTGTTGCTTTAAGACGGCAACTCCAGGCTGGCTGGCCGGAGGATCAACCCCAGGAGTCAACCGGGGTTGACTTCCGAGGAGGCAAGCGCGCTTTAGGATGGAGCCCCTCTCCAATTCGGCAGAGGCGTCCTTTAGACGCTCGGAGCCTCGACCGGGCTGCTAATAAGCCCCGTGGAGTTACACCCCATGTAGGGCGAACTAGAGTCGGCGGCGCCGTCTGGTTTCGGTCCGCTAGATCCGCTACCCAACCCCGAGGAAGCCGCCTGAGCTTCCAAAAAAGCAGCGGTTAATCCCCTGCACGTGGCCTCGGCACCAGCCCCTGCCGGCTTAAATTAAGGTTTACTCTCCGCTAAGATAAAGCGGGGGTCGAATAACCGCCGCCGCCGCCGCTCGCCCCGTCCGAGAAGCGCTGCTGGAAAGGAGCGGACCTGCCAAAGCTGCCCTCACAGCCCGAAGGAGCCTGGATGGAGCCTCCGGGCTTGGAACCGAGGCGGCACTCAACGCGGCGCTGTCTCTCTCCCTAACCGGCCAGGTGGCGTCTTCCTCCCCGTCCACTTAGCCCCGCGGGGCGACGGCGGGCTGGAAGCAGCACCAGCCGCCTCAGGTCAAGCCAGCGCTCCGCTGAGGCGAACCGACCCGGCTCGGGGAACCACGTGGGGTCGTGGGGCGGGAAAGAGGGGAGGCCGTCGCCGTCGCCGCCTCCTCCGCAGCCACCCGGTGCCGAGGCGGGTCGGGCTTCGCGGTCAGCCCTTGCGCCCTTTCGGAGGCAGGGAGCCGGGGTCGAGGTGAGGAGCGGGCTGCCGTGGGCGAGGGCGAATTGCGCCCTTTCTCTTTATAGGAGCTCGGCGAGGAGCGCCACTCACGCGGGGCTGTTGCTGCTGGGCGAAAAGTAGGCGGGGCTGTGCTCTACCGCATCTCTCCCCGCGGGGAGGCCGCTCGCTACTCCGCCTTCCTAACGCCTCCGAACCGGGTCGCTCCCGGAGGTGGCCGAAGGCTTGCCAGGATCTGCCGGGAACTCAAGCCCCGCAACGGCGGTGGGGGTGGGGTGGGGTAGGGGCGGCGATCCTACCCCGGGGCGCCGGCTTTGAGCACCTCGAAGCTCGAAGAGGTGGAAGGAGCGAAGCCAAAGACGAGAGAGAGAGAGAGAGAGGACCCAAACGCAGCGAAGCTGATCCGCCGGAGGTTCGAGAGCGCAGACTCTTTTCGTGCGAGATTTCTTCGAGGGCGCTGTTAAAACTCTCGGCTGCGCTCCTGGTAACCGGCACGGATGGCTTTTACTATTCAAATCTTTATTGTCAGTGCGCAACATATGTATAATGAGATTGGTTGAGCTAAGAGGACTGGCTCGTTTTCCTGGAGAATCAGGCTAGCCGTGGCTACTGCTATTGATGGCCAGCCAGTCCTAATAAGAGCGAACGGGAAGCCAGGGGTGAAACCCAGCAGGTTCTGACAGGTTCTGGAGAACCGGTAGCGGAAATTTTGAGTAGTTCCCAGAACCGGCAAATACCACCTCTGGCTGGCCCCAGAGTGAGGTGGGAATGGAGATTTTGCAGTCTCCTTCCCCTGGAGTGGGGTGGGAATGGAGATTTTGCAGTATCCTTCCCCTGCCACTCCCACTAAGCTACACCACGCCCACCAAGCCACACCCACAGAACCGGTAGTAAAAAAATTTGGATTTCACCACTGCGGGAAGTTAAGCTGTCATGGACATGTCACAGTTCATCTCTCCAGATGCATGGAGGGGCTTGAATGGAAACCTTTTAAGAAGGGAGCTGGATGTCTTTTTAAGAAAATGTGGACTTCTTCGGGTTTGGGTCTGCCATAAATGGATCCTGCTTTTCTCCTACATCAATGTCCCATATTGATATCTTGGGTTTTTAGCTCGTTTAAAATAAAGGTTGATGGAAAGTGTTTATGTTCTCTCTCCAGCTTGGATTTATGAGCTACTGGGGTACAGGATGCCCAAGTAGATGAGTGTAAGGCCTGATCTAGCTTCAGCTCTTCTTACCAGTTGTGGTAGCCTTAGATGGCCAAAAAGTTAAAGTCATACAAGTGGTAACCCTGTATTATAGGCTGACTGCACTTGTTTGCAGCAGCTCTTCTTTGCTTGTGATTGTATTATATTTATATGGCCACCCATCTCACAGAAACACATAGAACAATCAATAAAAACCACAAATATATTTACTTATTTGTATATTTTATTTAAAAATACATATTTTATAGCCAGAGGAGGTCAGCTGTATTAATTATTGAGCTGTATTAATTATTAATTATGAGTATTTCTTTTGTGTTATCTATTCCTACAACATGTTAATTTTAGAGTTAGCTGTGTGCTTTGTAAAATGTTGATGATTAATCGGAACTGGAACATTACTGATAATGTAATGATGTGGGGAAATCCATCTTAACCATCCTGGATGCAGTTCTGCTTACCCTGAAGTAAGATTGGCAGCCAATAAATTTTCTAAATAAATTGATAAAACTGCCAACAAGCTTTTGGAAAAATGGGGAAAGAAGAGATGCAACGAAGTTGATCAAAGAACTAGAATATGTTCCTGGTGAAGAAATGGATATTTGGCAGTTTGGAACTGAGAGCGAAAGTGAGGAAGAAGAACATAATAGAGATATAACAGATATATAGGGAAACTTAAGGCTTCCTCACATAAATCTTAGCTTCTGGTAGTCTATGTAGATTGTCAGCCAACGAGGTCATTGTTGTCCCAAAGGTGCTTTTACAAAAGCAACTGGACTTAACTTTCTTTTTTCCTAGCAGAGGTTTCACTTCTCAAACAAAGAAAAGTCCAGTTGCCTTTTGAAAAATAAACCTTTGAGATTTAGCTTTTCAACTTAGCTTTGACTTTTCAAATGACAGTCTCCATCTGAGGACTAGCCAGGTTTGATCTTGCTTAGCTTTTTAAAAATCGACCAAATTCAACAAAGCACAACAAATGCCAGTATCCAAAATCACCTATATAATGATGTCAGTGAAGAATTTGGGACAGATAAGGAAAAATATGTCAGGCAAGGTAGGAGCACTTGTGGAATTCCCCTCTATAAGATTTATATCAACTTGATGTCCACCAAACGGGGATTTGCAAAGGAATTGGGACAAATACAAATGAAATAAAGTGGAAATAAAGCTATTTATATTGTGCTATGGTATATCATTTCATGACTCAGTTCCTACACTATGCTAAGTGGCACTATTATGTTCAATTTGCTGCAGTGTGTTGAGTAGTCTGTGGATGATATAAGTGAAGCAAAGATGCTCAAATTTTTGTCCTGCCTCTAGGCTTCTCAGGAGGTTCTGATTAGCCACTGAAGAATATCATTCTGGATTAGATAAATATTTTGATTTAATATAGCAGTGTTGTTCTTATTTTTTTGTAGAAGGAGAAACCTATTTTCTTGCAATTCTATAAATTGTCCCAATAAAATACTTTTTAAAATTTATTAGGTTTATATTTCACTTTCTTCTAGACATTTATGGACTTTGTCTTTTCTAATTTTGACCTCTACCTATGAGAATGGCTAGGCAGAGAAAGAGTAATTGGTTCAGAGTTCATGGTGAAATCCAGCAGGTTCTGGAGAACCGATAGTGGAAATTTTGAGTAGTTCGGAGAACCGGCAAATTCCACCTCTGGATGGCCCCAGAGTGGAGAGAGAATGGAGATTTTGCAGTAGCCTTCCCCTGCCACGCCCGCCATGCCACACCCACCAAGCCACACCACACCCACCAAGCCACACCCACAGAACCGGTAGTAAAAAAATTTGGATTTCATCACTGAACTAGGCTCCCTAATCCAGATGAACAATTTCACCATATAATTTGGGCTAAATTTGATAATTTATCTTATCCTAAGAATTTATTAAATTTCTCATTTTAATGTCAGATGAGAATGGCTGATAACTACAGTAAACTATAACGTTAGATATTTTTTTTTACCCTTGTTCATTAAAGGCTGTGATTATTTAAACAATGCTTAATTGGAGGAAGAAAAAAAAAGAACAAAGGAAATAAGGCAGAATAAGAGGAAGATAAACCTTAGGTATGCTATTAATAGTGCCATTTGTCTGGTAAACTCATAAGTTTTGTTTTTCTCACCATGTACATGTATACATCCAAACTAGACTGTGTTGTTTTTCTGTGTCATATAATATATGTGGGTATATGCATAATGTTGTATTTATTTATTTATTTTATCATGTTTATGTAGTGTATATTGGAGGTGGAGACCCTTTGAGAGCTATATGCAACAAAATTTCATTTTAATGTATGCCGATTAATGTATATTCAAAGTGACCATAAAGTTATTCTAAGTTCTTGTTTCCAAGATGAATCTTTACATAACCAAAAATCTGCCATCACTAACTCAACAGTACAAAAAGTATACCATTTGGGTATTTTGGGAGTGTTCAAATAAGCTTTTTATTTTTAAAATCTCTGAAAAACTCCATTAAAAAGGAAGGGTAAGGCAGAAAAAACGCTAAGGAAATTTAATTCCCCTAAAATCCTCAAAAAGCAAGGCTGAAAATTTTCATCTTGGCCAAGCTAATGATATTCCTTAGTAACTTTTCTGGGTTTTGGGCAGAGTGGGGGGTGGGGAGGGGGAAGGACCATGATTATTTTTCAGAAGAGCTGTGACACTGAAAAATGTCTGACAGGACCATGATGATCTCTGAATTTTAAAAAAAAGTACATCTCTTGGGGGGGGGGTTATTACAACCACTCAAATAACATACAGTATTTAAGCTAGAAATAATAAAACTGAAGTAATCAATTAACATAGAATTTAAAAGATGAAAAAATAATAAGTTATTTTTTATTTTAGAAAAAAAAGATGCACAGGTCATGCAATGGGGAATTTGATGCAAAGTGTTTGTAAATCTTGATTTAAACATCACGTTAATCCATGATTTGTCAAAGATCCATAATGTCTGGATAATCAACCAGAATGGATGGGATTGCACTGAGCCAAAACCAAATAAACAACATTGTGGTTTACTCTGATTTAACCAATATTTATATGGCAGAAAAAATATGAGTATATCAAATGAATCCCTAAATGTATTTCTAGTCACTCTTACACAGAAAAGATCCCCAACCTGGTACCCTTCAGTGGCAATTATGAAAGCTGAGGTTCATGCATCTACAGGAAATAAAGTGAGGAAAGGACCTTCCACTTGAGCTATAAGGGGATTTGCTCTTATTGCTCTTGATGAGTACCCTCAAGTTGTTATTGACTCTTGGTGACTCTTAGTGACCACTAATAGATTTTTCTCCAGGAGGTTCTCTCCCTAATCTGGTCTTTGAGGTCTTCTACCCATCACCACTGTAACTAAATCCATCATTTTGCTGCTGGTTGTCCTCTATTTCTCTTTCCTTCCAATTATGGCCTATTATTATATACATAGTACAGTATAGCATAGTACAGTGTAGTGTAGTGTAGTGTAGTGTAGTGTAGTGTAGTGTAGTATAGTCAGTGGTGGGATTCAGCCAGTTCGCACCACTTCGGGAGAACCGGTTGTTAACTTTCTGAACAGTTTGGCAAACTGGTTGTTGGAAGAAATCATTAGGGCAGAGAACCGGTTGTTAAATTACTTGAATCCCACCACTGAGTATAGT